CCCCCCAAATTTGGTGGAGATCTGCCGGCGCGTTCGCGAGATAGTGACACCAGTCAACACTTTCCCTTCAGTAAGTTGGTTTCTTGTTCAGGCAGCATTCAAGCGTTGTCTTATTCGACCGTAAGTGCCCTGCGAAGTGGACTTCACATGATATTCTGCCATGATTCCAGTTCTAAGGGAATGTACACGTTACATTCCAAGGGCATTAAAGTGTGTGAGACGTGAATTTAAATGGTATTTATTTACAGAGGTATATTATTTCACACTTCTCTAGTAAGTTTCGTCTGTGTGTGAAGACAGTAGTGCAAATCCGTGAATGAATGTTCCGAAGTGAAATAAACTCCAACGGAATAAAGTTGAATGGAATTGAATTGAAATAAAGTTGAATAAAATTCAACTTTACTGTTCAGTGCACTGATGTCAGACTCATTTTGGATAATAAAGTTTATTGTTAAATTGTTAAATGCCCTGCCTCCATCACATATCTTTGTCACATCATTATAAGTGTTTGATCACCACATTTGAGTGAGTGTTTATGTATACAGTATATATTGTTTATGTATATACTGTATTATATATATAGTACAAGTCAAAAGTTTGGACACACCAATGGGAAAGTGTCTAAACTGGTGACTGGTACTGTACTATAATATACACAAAGAATATCGGCCGATATATCGATATCGGCCTTTTTTACTCCCTAATATCGGTATCGTATCGGCCCCCAAAAAACCCATATCGGTCGGGCTCTAATCATTACTCCAGTCTTCAGTGTCACATGATCCTTCAGAAATCATTCTAATATGCTGATTTGCTGCTCAGTCATTGGTAATAATAATAGTTCTTATTATAAAAATAGTTTCCAAAATTTGTGCATGTATCAGAGTATGTGAGCGGAGTGGAGTGGATTTTTTTGAATGTCGTGGTTTTCAGTCGCTCCACTACCACTCCATCACGAGCACAATTAATGCCAACAGCCCATAATAGATCTGCATTTGATCAAGAATTCACGCGTTACACATCATTGACAGATATGTGGATCACTCAAATCAGAAAGAAGGTGAAGGTTATATAGATGGTGATGGACAAGTGCGGGAGGTGATATCTCAGGCATGTTTGTTTGTAGCATGTGGATACTCAGTGCTGATTGGGTGAATTCAATGTTTTAAACAGTTTACTGTACAGGTAGTTAATCTCCGCTCTAAACTAATGTGCTGCCTGCTACAACACACAAGCTCGCGCATAACGTACAGATCACGCACACATAGAAACAGTCAGGAGTGCAGAAAATTGTCAACGCTGTCCTGTGATTCATCAGCTTAAAAACGGAAAAGTTACAGCATATTCTTTCTGTTTCTGAAGTAACTACAACCCACTTCGCCATAGTAGAGAGACGCTGCACAGACAAGTGAGTCAAACAGTCATTTAACACAGACTTGGGCTAACAACTGTAGTGTTCCAATAAATCACGTTAAATCTATTCTTCTAGTATTGTGTAATAGAAGTTCTGAGTAGAAGTTTGTGATACTTCAAAACATACTGAAATACTTTAGCCGCAAATTTCGTCATGGAGCGAAGGCGGAGCTGGAGCGGAGTGATTATTGAATGCTTGGAGTGCAGAGGAGAAAATGTTGCCGCTCCACTCTGCCACATACTCTGCTGTGTGTATATATATATATATATATATACACACAAGTATATTTATAAATATTTTAATTACTAAAATAATATTATATATGATATTTTGGACCGTCTGAAATCTGAAATGATGTGCTGTTCTCTCTTGTGTGCTCCAGTGTCTGGTGAAACTGTGGCGTGTCTCTCGGATCTCGTCCCAAAGCCATCTCAAGCCCCGCCCTCTGTGAAGCCCATGCTGTTGCCTAGCGACAGCGCTGACATCACTCACGTGAGGCCGTCGTCGCTGAAACAGCCTCCTGCCTTACCGCCGAAGCCATACAGCAGGATACCCAACCATCTCACAGGTGACGCCTGCGCCGCTCCTCCGACTCTCACCGAAACCTTTGCGCAGAACTAAACTCTGTCTCTTCTTCTCTTCAGAGACGCTGGCTCGACTGTCGCCGCCCCTTCCTCCAAAGAAAGTGATAATATGTGAGCCGGGGCCCTCATTTCCCCTCAAATGCCTACCGTCCCAGGGCTCGCACGCACACACACACACACTCACACACATGCACCCGCAGC